AAAAAACGTTTTCGCAACGTTTTTTCTCGAAATATTGCGATTCAACATTTTTATATTAAAATCAATATAAAAAAGTGAATCGCAATACTGCAACTCACTTTTATTATATAAAATCAATATAAAAAAGTGAATCACAATACTGCAACTCACTTTTATTATATAGTAGAATCAATAGTTTCAGGTCATCAGGTCAATCAGGTCAGGTCAATCTTCATACCTGACCTGAATTTTTTTTAAAAATCTCATAACTGACCTGAATTTCAGGTCAGGTCAGGTCAGGTTACCTGAATTTGGCTGACCTGTTCGGAGCTCTATTTTATGGCATTTCAAAGACAACTGGTTCAAAGCAATCACCTTCTTCAATGATCATCAAACCTATGTAAATTTTTTAAATATTTATTTTAGTATTATGTAATTTTTATTTAGATTTAGTGGTATAAGTAGAAGTATTTTTTTGCTTGCGTGAAAAAAATATAAATATATATAGCAAAGTTGCAATTTTTTTCTTAATATCTATGAATTTTTGATCATGTAATTAACTTCACAAATAGCTTCAAATTGTAGGTTATAATATAATTCCTGAACTTTTGCTCAGATATCTTGAAAAGCACAAGATCGTTATTTTTTTCATTTTTTAAAATTTCTTACTAAATCCTAAGTCTTGTTCCTATAAGAAGAGATAAAGTTCAGCACTTCAGCTGTATTACCTGAGTGGCTTATTATCAATTGCTGTAATAGAGGGTGCAATTTTAGACATAATATTATGTTTTGTTCAGTGCAAAAATTATTAATTACAATATATGTACAATTAAATAATTTTTATAAATATGGAACTTAGTATGTAAAATATGTTTTGTACTATACATATAGCCGAAACCTTTATAAAGCTGGATAAGGTTTTGGACTTTTAGTAATTTAATTATAATAAATTATTAAAAGCTATTCAGAAATCCATCTGAAACTCCAAAAACTTTATATTATAGTTTCAGCTGGATGTAGAGATTAATTTTTATCATTTTTTAACTTAATTTTGATTTAAAGACATGGCCGAAAATTACGTGAAAAGGTTTCAGCTACAAGTATATTTTGTACACTGTTTAAAACTCTCACAAAAAATGCTGAAGGTTTTGTGTAATAAAACTGTCAAGTAAAAGTATTTTTCATATTTTATTTATTAAAAGAAACAGGTTATCACTTAGTAACGTGATTTTAATGTCTTATCAATCAGTGATTAAATTTCTTTTACTATATATATATCCAATCAAATTTATATATTTATTTATATAAAATTTTTTGACTAATAAAAAAAAAGTCTAATCGCTGACCAAAATATTAAATGATTGGGATGAAACCCATTTTTTTAGTTGTGTTACCTTACATTCATTATTATAATTTTTTTTCTTTTTAGCTAATTAATTAATAGAATTTAAAAAAAAAGTAAAATAAAAATTATTAGTAAAGGGCCAATTTTCTACAGTGACTTTTATTATAAGTAAATGCTAATTGAATTTCAGTATATACCATATATCGCAGGCCATAGTACCTCTCCTATGTATAGTATCCCCCTTGAAAAATTTCATAGAATTGTATAGTACCTGGGGGGATATTTTACAATTATCTCATAATCCAGTAATCAGATTTGAGCCATCATTTTTTTTGTTTGATAGCTCTCATTGAGCTCTTCAAAATAAAAAAAATAATCGTTTAAATTGGACTGGTAGATCGTGAGATATTCACAAAAAACAGAATTTTTAGACTTTGTTTAGTATCTGGGGGTACAGTGTCAAACCCCCAATTTTTGCAAGATACCCGGAGTACTGTGACCCGCTATATACGGTATATATAAATAAGATAACAAATACAAATCAAAGAAAAATAAAACTACAAGATCAAAAATACCAATCTAAATAAAAAGAAGAGGGATTTATAATTTTTAAACGAAAACTTTACCAAAAAGTAATAAAACTAAAAGAGATACTAAAGTAATAATTGATTATATAAAAAGTCAAATTCTTTATTTTTATTTATTTTTATTTGTAATTATAAATAAAAATTTAGTTTCTTTCAGAAATTTTTTTATTTATTAATTCATTTTTCTTTTAGAGTTTTTTGTTATTAAAAACTACTAACATCTTTTTTTTGGCTATTATTTACCTTATAAAATTTATAATTTAAATTTAAGAATACCAAACTGCTTAAGTTTACCCTTTTTTATTTAATTAATTTACATAAATTCAAAAAAGTTAAGTAATACCAAATCTCTAGCTTAGATAACCAATATTCCAGTACTTTCAGCTTTTTCAAAAGAAAACCAAGCTGAAATTCCAGGAAAAAAAAAAACTAAAACAAAAAGAAAAGTCATAATTCTCAGAAAATTTCAAAAAGAAAAACTAAGTAAAGAAGTTAATAAATAGCAAGTTTTCATTTATCATACCAACATCTTAAATATTAACTGATAATAAAAAAAAAGTCTGCTTCCTAAGTAGTTGTCTCTACTTCAACTTATACTTTGTATAAAACTTTTGCAATGCTTTCAAAAAGTAAAAAATCAATAGGAAAATTCTACAAGTGCAATATTCAAAGTTAAGCCATTTAGTATATAACTGTTATAACTTTTGGAATACTGTAAGAGCTGGAGTTTCACAGAAGTAAAAAACTTTTTGGTGAAAAGCATTTCAGTTAGATATTTTTTTCAAAACTAGAAGTTTTAGGTCCATATGAATTTTAAAAAAATCCCCTTGAAATCTTTAAACATATTAAAAGCACATTACTATTACTCAGGTGAGAAAAACTAAAGCTTTTTCTTTAACAACTTCTACTAGGAAAATGGTTAGATGATCAGTAGGTGAAATCTCACAAAATTTTAAAAACAATACAATATAGATTAACTTTATTTAAAAAAATTTTATTATTTCGCAAGAATGTACAATAAGTTATTAATAATAAATCAATTTTCTTTTTTTTATATTTAATTATGTAAATACAAATCAAACCAAAAAAAATCCATTATAATTAATTTTTTTTCTAATATCTAAAAAATTTTCTAATAATAAAATATTACTGGTTTGATTTTCAATATTATATTTAGCTATATTGTTGATAAATTTAATAAAATTTAATATAACAAAAACTATAAAAATGTCACAATCCAAAGAAATGATGAAAATAACCAGAATTATAATTTTGACTAGAATTATTTTTTAATTGCTACCATTTACACAATTATATAATCACACCTAAATACTGTACAAAATTGTAGGTGTTGAAGCAGAACTCCAGGCTATTAGAATTGGGTCAGTGAATTAAATTGAATGCTTAGCTACTGAGAGTAAGATTTTGGATTTGTGTAAAATTCAAAAAATTTATGAAAGGCAAGACTTTTAATTTGTGTAATTTCAAAGAGAAATTTTACTTTGTTAGACGCTTATTTTAATACAAATTAGAATATTATATGTATTATTTTTGTCCATAAAGAAGTCATTAAAAGATAATTTATAAGTTTAGAATATTTTTAGCATTAAAAAACTCTATTGAAATAAAACAAATTAATAATTAGTCTCCCCTAACCTACATGCTAATAATACTCGTTAGGCTGATCATTACGCAATTACACTATTCCTCAACTACCCTAGGGTATAGTAGCTCATTGTTCTACTATATTCATACGTAATGATAAGGGTGGTTAGGCTGATCATTATGCAATTACACATTCTCAACCATCTTAGGATATAACTCCTTTAAATAGATTAGGAGTTTAGCAATTGTATTTAGCACGTAATGATTTCTTCAATATAGAAGATTAACCCGGTTCAGGAGACTTAAAGTATGTCATGATTGTCATGTGATTGTGATTTCATTTATAATTCTGGGCAAATTTTATAATTCCGACCTATATTATATGTAATTTTGAGGTACGCACCGTGCGACCGTGCGTATGTACATCCTACCAGGTATGCAATAGCGTTAAACTTAACACCGGCCGTTAATATCGTACACATAATGCGCTCGTGTATTTTTTTTTTTGAAATTCGGAGGAGTTATGTTAAACAATTAAGCTTATTCGCAAACCTGTCCTATTAAAGCAAGAAAATAAAAAATTTAAAGAGCGGGGGAAAAAAAATTTAGAAATTTTCAATTTCTAGATATTTTATACTAATTGTAATCATGGAATTTTCTAATTATGCATGTAATAAAAAATAGGTTAAATAAGTTTAGACCTGAAATTAGAAAATTACCAAATAAGATCACATTATAAATATTACATTTGAATAACATTTGAATGTTTAATTCCTGTTCGCTTTGTTTGGATTTTTGCAGTAGGCATAACCGAATATTATTATTTAAAAAGGAAAGATCTATCGTAAAATAGGAAAAAAAAAATTGATAAGTCGATTACATCCAAAACTTATATAAAACTCTAAAAAACTCAGCCCTTATCGGCAAGTTTCAGGAATTTCGGGAGGATTTATTTTTAGAAACAATACTTTAAAATTAAAAATTTTTACTAGGGGAAAGGGGAAAGGGGAAATATCACAAGGAGAAGCAACCCATTTTGATGAATTATTATTATTATGATTTCATACATTCATCCTTGCGTAATATTTGTCTAACCGGTCGGTTTTTTTATCGGTTTTTCATTATAATATGTTTCGCAATTAAGTATTAAGCGAGGCTTTTCTTAGCGGCCCGAAACACATTTATTTATTCTGGCTTAGATTATTGGCTTTGACAAATTAAAGATCCGATCAGAGCGAAGGCTATTGTGCCCTTTTTATATATATTAATTGTGTCGCTTCCGCCTTCCGGATTGTCGGATTGTTTCGGCAATGACATTTTGATCGTCGTTTCCAGGTGTAAAACGAGTTATCAATGATTTGTCTATATAAAGGAATAATGTAACAGCAATTTAATAATAAATTTTTTTTAAATTATTTTTTTTATACGGATCAGGGAAAGAACATGCAACTATAATTAATGCATAAAATATTACCAGTTACCTTCTTAGGGCATTATCACGTTTTATTGTATTGTACTTCAAAACTGTAACCTCGACAATTTGCAAAGCCTCAACAAAAAAATAAACCATTTATTTCTAATACACTCACTTTCCTTTTAACTACCTTAATATTTATTCTACACCTTCGTTTTTTTCTCGCGCCATCTTACGGCAGAGACTCTTTTTGTTACACATTGTCCGAGTCACAAATTCCGTTGAAATTGAGACTTTACTTATAACATTTTTCTAAGAAAAACTCCTTAAAAAAAAGTCAATATGACTTTTTTTGGTCGGAAGAAAAGACAAGACAATGACATTGAGAATAGTTCAGGTTCAGGACACAAAAGAAATGTGTCCACAGTGTCAGCAACGCAAGTCCTTCCAAAACGTTGTGTATACGTGAATATGCCATTTCCACAAGCTGAGTTGGATCAGTATGGGGAACCAAAAACACAATATGCCGCGAATAAAATTCGAACCTCAAAATATACCTTACTAACCTTTTTACCAAAAAATCTTTTTGAACAATTCCGTAGAGTAGCGAATATTTATTTCCTTTTTGTAGTTCTTCTACAACTAGTTCCAATGGTTGGTGGACAGACTGACCCTATTTTAGCTGCTTTACCACTTATCTCAATTATCGCAATGACTGCTATCAAAGATGCTTTTGAAGATTGGAAGCGTCATTCACAAGACAATTCCTTAAATAAGTCAAGAACAATACGGTTGGAAAATTGGAACAATGTTAATATACCACACGGACAAAGTAGTCGATTGGGTAAATTATTGAATTTGGGAAGTTATAAAAATAAGGGGAATAATAGTGTTAGTGGTTATAAGGGCTCTAGAAGTCTTGGAGAATCAGACTTAACAAAAAATAATGCAAAATGGACTGCGAGTCGTTGGCAGGATGTAAAAGTAGGAGATATTATTCGATTAAAGAACAATGATTCTATCCCCGCTGATGTGATAATTTTATCCACAAGTGAACCAGATGGTCTGTGTTATGTAGAAACTAAAGAACTAGATGGTGAAACGAATCTTAAAATTCGTCATTGTGTTTCTTCCACTGCTTCATTAAAGTCAGAAAATGATTGTGAACGTGCTTCATTTTATGTTGAGTCTGAACCTCCACATTCAAATTTATACTCTTATACTGGTGTACTACGTTGGCCCGATCAACCGGGGATTGAAAATGATCAAAAAATAGAGCCAGTGTCTATTAATAACGTTTTATTGAGAGGTTGTGTCATACGTAATACTGAATACGCAATAGGATTAGTTATTTTTACTGGCGTAGATACAAAAATTATGTTAAATTCCGGAGATACACCCAGTAAGAGAAGTCGTATTGAAATAGAAACAAATTTTCATGTATGTATATAACTAAAATTATATATATATATATGTAAAAAAAGCCAATTAATTAATTCATTTACTTTCCAATTTTAGGTCACCATGAATTTCATAATTTTGTTCTTATTGTGTTTAGGTTCTGCAATTGCTGATGCCATTTATTATCTTAAACCTACAAGTTCTGCAGATTTTTTTGAAAATGGAGGCGGTAATGGTGATTCAGCAAATGCAAGCGGTTTTTTTACTTTTTGGTAAGATTTATGAAATTCGTTAATTATTATTTTATTATTTTTTACATATATCTCATATATCTTCTTTTATATTAATATAGGGTGAGCTTAATATTATTTCAAAATATTGTACCAATTTCATTATATATTACCATTGAAATGGTAAAAACAGTTCAAGCTTATTTTATCTATTCTGATGTTGATATGTATTATGAGAAACTTGATTATCCATGTACACCAAAGACATGGAATATATCTGATGATCTAGGTCAAATTGAGTACATATTTTCTGATAAAACTGGAACTTTAACTCAAAATGTTATGGAGTTCCGTAAATGTACTATTAACGGAGTAGCTTATGGATTAGGTGAGACTGATACTACACGTGGTGCTAAACTTGCAAATCCTGATCAAAATTCAAAAGTTAAAGATGGTGTTAATCTTGATGCTGAAAAAGAATTAATGTTAACTGAAATGACTAAACTATTCGATAATCGCTACATTTCATCAAATCCCACATTCATTGATTCTAAGTTATACCAGGATTTAAGAGCGGCAGATCGACAAGCGAAAGCTATACAAGATTTTTTTTCAGCTCTTGCCTTATGTCACACCGTCCTTGTAGAACATCCTGATGAAAATAATCCTTATAAAATTGATTATAAAGCACAATCTCCTGATGAAGCAGCTCTTGTAGGTTGTGCTAGAGATGTTGGTTTTGTATTTCTTGAACGTTTTCAAGATACTTTGACTATAGAATTAATGGGTGAACGCAAGGAATTTACTTTGTTAAACGTGTTGGAATTTAACAGTACGCGTAAAAGAATGTCAGTAATTTTAAGACCTCCTGAAGGTGGTGTGGTCTTGTTATGTAAAGGTGCTGATAGTGTGATTTATGAACGACTTGAAAAAGGCCGTCAAACAAAATTAAGAGAGGAAACTTTGGTTGATTTGGAAGCTTTTGCAAATGAAGGTCTTCGTACACTTTGTATTGCTTATCGAGTCATATCGGATGAGGAGTATAATGTATGGGTTAAAAATTATGAAGAAGCTGCTTCAAGTATCTATGATCGTGAGGAAAAGATTGAACAAGCGTGTGAAATGATCGAACATTCTTTGATTCTAATGGGTGGTACTGCTATTGAAGATCGTCTTCAGGAAGGTGTTCCTGAATGTATAGCAACTTTAGCTAGAGCAGGAATTAAAATTTGGGTACTTACCGGTGATAAAACAGAAACTGCTATTAATATTGGTTTTGCATGTAACCTGTTACAGAAAGATATGCTTTTGATCGTTATTTCAGCATCTGATAAAGAGAGTGCGAAACGTCAATTAGATGAAGCTTTGGATAAATTTTTTGGACCTAATGCGGAAAATAAAAATAGTAAACATGCTCTTATTATCGATGGTGAAACTCTCAAACATGCATTGGATAAGAAAATTAAACCCCAATTTTTAGAACTTGGAAAGAGATGCCAGAGTGTTGTTTGTTGTCGTGTTAGTCCTTTGCAAAAAGCTAAAGTCGTTGGTATGGTAAAAGAAGGATTAAATGTTATGACATTATCTATTGGAGATGGTAAGTTGAAGAATATCCTATTAAGTGAGATTTAATGATTTTATTTTTTTTTTTTAATCAAAAAAAGATAATAATATAGTTTTTTTTTTTATTTTGAATGTGTTTTAGGAGCAAACGACGTTAGTATGATTCAAGAGGCAAATGTTGGAGTGGGTATTGCCGGAGAAGAAGGCCGTCAAGCCGCAATGGCAGCAGATTACGCTTTTGCTCAATTTAGATTTTTAGAAAAACTTTTATTAGTTCATGGTCGATGGTCTTATATAAGAATTGCTGAAATGATTTCTTGTTTCTTTTATAAAAATATAGTTTGGACAATTGCAATGTTCTGGTATCAGATTTGGGCAGGATTTTCAGCACAATATCTTTATGATTATACATATATTATGCTTTATAATCTTGTGTTTACAGCCTTTCCTGTAATGTTTCTTGGTGCATTTGATCAAGATGTTGATGCTAAAACTTCATTAAAATATCCACAATTATATAAGCGTGGTATTTTACAAGAAGATTTTACAAAATCGAAATTTTGGCTTTATGTTTTAGATGCAATTTATCAATCAGCTATTTGTTTCTTTGTTTCTTTCGGCATATTTCAATTTGGTTCATCACATCCAACAGGATTAACAAATAATGGGTTGACCGATTTAGGTACCATGGTTGCAGGATCTGTTATTGCTACAGTAAATATATACGTAGGTTTAAACACTATGAATTGGACATGGATGGCTTTTGTAATTATTGTTATGAGTATTCTTTCATTTTATGCATGGGTTGAACTTTATTCAATTTGGTCATCTCTTGGATTTTTCCGATTGGATTTAATATTATTTTCAGAATTAGATTTTTGGTTTGGAGTTGTATTAGCAGTTTTTATAAGTATTTTACCACGTTATACAGTAAAATATCTTCATAAAACATATTGGCCTACTGATACTGATATAATTCGTGAAAAGATTCGTAAAGAAAAGAAAACCAAAAGAAAGAGAATAATAGATTTAGAAACTGAGGAAGATAAAGTTCCTATAACAGGATCAGGAAGAATTTTAGATAATAATTCCTTTAATACAAGTTCAATAACAATAAATGATGATATGCTTAGTGATAGTTCACTTAGTGATACACCAATTAAAAAAGAACAAGTAATTCCAAAATTACCAAAAATTACAACAATTCCAAGGGGAAGAACGATATCATTAAGATCAGAAGAACAAGTTTATCATATGCAATCCGGAAATAGACAATCATTCACAGGTTTCGCATATTCTAGTGAAGAAAGTTCATTTGAAACATTTAGAAAATCAGTATATAGACCAACAAAACCTCATTTATTAAGAAAAACACATCATCGATCAAATACCACGACCGCAATAGAAGAAGAAACAATTAATAGGAAATCATATTTATCAACAACATCATTGAATCGTAGTCAAACTTTACCAAATACATTATTTCGTAGGATGTCACCAAGTCCCAGCCGATCACCATCACCTAATAGATCACAAAGATATGATGATGATAGAAGATTAAGATCTGAAGGTGAAGAAGTTGAACTTTCTGTTATGTCACCATCTACACCATCTACACCATCTACACCACCATCATAATATATATATATATATATATAATATATTTATATATAATTTTTTATCTTTCTTTTTTACTTTGAGAACTTTGAAATTTAATTTATTAAGGGATTCATGGGAATCATAGACTTTTTTTATTATCATTTATTTGAGAGAATTTAGATTTTTTTATTTTTAATCATTCATTTCGTGTATTATCTTTTTAAGCATTTTTTTTTGTAAAGTAATCTTTATACATTTTTAAATTATATTATTGATAATATAATAATCGTCACACAATCGACACAAACAAATAATTTTTTTATTAAATTTTTTTATTTATTTATTATATTTATTATATAATCTTGTAATATATATATATATTATTAAAGAAGAATGATTTAAAGGAGAAACACGAAAAAAATCATTTATTCAAATTGTAAAGAACGCGTTTAAAACATTAAAGGTCTATTCGTATTCTCATCATTAATAATAACATTTTCATTAGAAGTTACCACAGAATATACAGAAGCCTTAAACAAGGTATAAACAAGACCAAATTTTTTCTCCAAGGAACGAAGTTTATCAACAAGAATTTCGATATCATTCGTATTTATATGAATAATTGTTTCATTTATCTGAAGAAATGAAATTAAATAATTAAATAATTATATTAATAATAATAATTAATATAATATATAATAATAATATTATTAATTAATTATTAATATTATTATTAAATATTAAATATATTAAATATTAAATATTTACCTTTTCAATATGAGAAGATAATTTTTGGTATTCGTTTAGAATATCTTTTTCAAGGGAAGCATTATTATTAGAGAAAATATTGGTTGGTTGTTGTTGAAAGTTCATTTTATAATTGACTAATATTTCTTTAGTATTATTAGTATTATTAGATGTGAGATGTGAATCAATGAAAATGTAATTTGTTTATCATTAAAATTTGATAATTACACGTGATAAATACGTAATTTGTTTATTTACTGGTTACGGGATAATTATTGATATCGACATTTATATCGTAATGAAATCATGAATTATAATTATTAATGATATAAATGATATAAATGATAAAATTTAATTTGTTTTATTGTAAATCATGAACAAATTTGAACTATTGTGTAATTATTTAATTATTTTTTTTTTTTTTTTTTTTTTTTTTT